CCATCACCACCACCACCACCATCACCAACCACCACCACCAGAGGAGCAGAGCGAGGCCTTCACACCCACCTGGTGGGCTGACGGGAAAGAGGACATCCGCATCGCCATGCAGCACCTGCAACGGGGCCCAGCTGTGCACCGGGGAGAGGCCGGAGGTCCCATGCAGAGGCCTGAGGGGGGAGAACATAGCTGTGTGAGCAGGGGAGGGGCCTTAGAGCTGAGAACAAATGCCCCACCCCGGGGTCCTCTCGGAGGCTACCAGTGAGGAGGCTGAAGGCAGAGAGCCCAGGCTGGGGGCCAGCAGAGGATCCAGACCCAAGCATCCATTCTTTCTCCCTCCTTTGCCTACTGCTGGGCCTGCCCTGCACCAGGTACCCTGCCTGCCACCAAGCAGGGTAGCACAGCTGTGAAGCACAGCTCAGGCAGAGAAATGTGTGTAGCCTGTGAGAGGTACAGGGGACCCCTAGCTGGTCAGGAGGCAGGCCTCTGTGGAAGAAGTCAGGGGTGGGCCAGTGAAAAGTGAGTGAAGCCAAGGAGCACTGGGGCCGGGGCGAGGGGCAGAGAGTGTGCTCAAATGGAAGGAAGGACCATGTGATCCAGGGTCTGCAGAGATGGCAGCCCCAAAGCCCCGCTAGTGTCATCTGCCCTCGCTGGTCCTCAGAACCCAGTCAGATCATTTCTGGAACCCTTTCAAGAAAGGGGGTCGGCTCAAAGATGAACCAGGAGCACAAGGCCTGGTAGGGTGTCAACTGTCGACAAAGAGCAAGACACCATGTCTGGTGTTGTATGAGGACAGGCTTATCTTCAGGAGTGCTCCCCCAGTACAGCGGTAGCTTCTGGGCCCTGAGGAACCACTCGGGGATACCAGTAAGCACTTTAAAGTTCACAGAAAAACTCTAAAACTCGGCTGATACAGACGACCAACCCAGATCATAATTATAAATTGTCAGGGATGAAGAGAGGAGGGAGGGAGGGAGGGAGGACTGAAGGTGCCACAGCCCCGAAGACGAGTGGCAGGCAGCAAGTGACCCGCGTGGCAGAGCGAGGCCACTCCTCATGCAGGCAGAGACCGACTCAGGCCACGGTGCCACTGCTGGCGTCGAAACGCAGGGAGAGTGCAGCTTCGCAGTGGAAAAGTAAAACAAATGAGAAAATCCACCACGACCCCAGGAAAAAGAGGAAAGTGGAAAAACACACATTATCTCAAATGCAACTGGGTTCGCAGTCTGGTCTTATCTCTTAGTTTCTTCTTTCTATGCATACTTTTTTAATAGTTTTTATTTTAAGCAGGAAATTAAGAGTATAATTTTTATTGTGCTTTTTCATCCAAGGTGAATTTATAAGTATGTCTTTCCACGACTGAATAAATGTTAACTATCCTGTCTGTGAGCTTAGATATTCCCATGCTAAGGTTGAAGCAACAAAACAGTCTGCTGGGAACCCGTCCCCCTTGGCGGCACATGGAGGTGTGCTTCCAGAAACCGGGAGCACAGCCCCAGAGGCTGGACTCCTGCCCAGCAGGAGTCACGCGACCAAGCGGGAGAAACAGGCTCTGACAGTATGCCAGACAGGATGAGGGAGGAAACAAGGAAGCATGTGGGAAGGAAGGAAGGCAGGGAGGGAGGGAAGGAGGGAGGGAGGAAGGGAAGAACTCCTGACAGCTGTCCTACATCCCTCATGCTTCAGCTCTTGTACTAAGCACCTACTATGTACCTGAAGCTATCCTGCCCACTCAGGACACACTGGGAGCAAGAGTACTACCTGTCAGCAAAGAGCAAGAGCATGTGAGTGGTAGACCCTGAGTACAAACGGTCAGTGTCCTCTGCTGCCACCTGAAGAGCTGGTGGTTCGAGTCCAGCCAGTGGTGGCTCAGGAAAAACCACGAGAGCCCTGTGGTGCCGAGTCCCACTCGGACACCCCTGGGTCGGAATCAACTCACCAGCCCCAGGCTTGGGTTTTATTTATACTCGGGAGCCAGTCCGCCCCAGTGCCACCCGCTCTGCTGGCCACCAACTGTAGGGCTTGTCTTCTGTGCGGTTCTCCTTTCAAATCTGGGCAGATTTGCCCCTTCCACTGGGCATTTGCTTAAATCCTGGTGTCGTTCAACACCTTCCCATTCTTCCCAGCTTTAGTGAGGTTCCCACCCCACCTCCCTCGGGTCAGAGAGCTTACAGAGCGGAGGAAGCCGCCTGGCTACAAGGCCGTACATTCCCTTTGGAGAGAGGCTCCACTCTGGGCCAACAGAGCATGAGGAAGACCACGGTGTGGCTGAAATAAGAGCTTCCCACGTCTAGCGCAGGCCAGCGCTGTTCCTGGGATGCAGCTCCTCCCTGGCCACCCCCCAACCCCAGTCCAGCTGGGCTGTAAATTGCAAGGCCTGCCCATAAACCCAGCTTCGAGTCACGAGGAAAGCATTACTCGGCAGGCCACCCCATCATGCCTCTGCTCTTGCCCCGGATGTCTGGCAGAACACACAGTTGAGGTCCTCTCTGCCGAGGACAGGCTGTTCTTGGTGGGCGGGAGGCCCAGTGGCTGGGAGGATCCAAGCCCCTGGCACAGAGGGTCAGCCTGCAATGCCTTGTGCTTTTATACATCACAATGCCCGCAGCTACCCTGGCTCCTCTGCCGGCCTCTCCCTCAGCCTCCCCTCTGGGCACCTAGTGGGCAGGAGGGAGAGCGATTGTGTCTGAGGCCAAAGAACCTGAGCAGTGATTCAACACTTAGCCCAGCCCCACTCACTGGCACAGCTGGCCAGCACTCCTGGGAGGCCCGAATGAAGAACGAAAAGCAGGTCACAGACTGAGGCGCTGTTGCTATTGTGGTTGTTGTTAGCTGCCAACAGTCAGCTCCCAACTCAGGAACCCTATGCACAATGAGACAAAGTTGCCTGGGCCCACCAGGCCCATGATCGGGGTGGATCAGGCCAGTGTGGACCACGGGGTTTGTACTGGCTGCTTTTCAGAAACCGGTTGCCAGGCCTTTCTTCCTTGTCACTATTTGTCAGGAAGCCTTCCTGAAACGAGGGTATGTTCAGCATCCCAGCAACACACAAGCCTCCACTGTGACGAGTGACAGCTACACACACATGAGCTGCACTGGCCAGACCCTGAGCCTAGGTTCCCTCATGGAAGGCCAGAATTCCCCTCGGAACCAGACCTGGTATTGAGTCCCAAAACATCCCAACGACCCTAACAAACGATGTGGGGGTGGGAGAAAACAGTGGTGAGATGCATGAAAACACTCACTTCAACAAGGATCACAGCACACAGCAAGCACAACCAAGCCTGCCAGCCATGTTCACACCCAGCACGAGGGAACCAACTCCCAGTGGCCTGACGGGGTACCAACTGCGAGGTGGTTGCAGCTGGAAACGCAGGGGAGAGTCGACAGTTTTGGGGGTGCCTTGGGGGTGCAATATTCAAGTGCTCAGCTGTCACCCCAAAAGATGGCAGCCCACCACAGGCCCCTCAAGAGAAAAGGACCCGGTGAGCTGCTCTTGGAAAGATCCGCAGCCGAGGAAACCCTGTGGGGCAGCCGGTCTACTCGGTCCCACAGCAGCGTCACGAGGGCAGCACAACAGCAGCAACTGCAAAGGTGACCAGATGTGTGCCTTCCGTTTCACTAGAAGCCCTGGGGGCACTGGGAGGTGGCCCCGGGCTGCTGACCACATTTGAAGGAGAAAGGTGAGTCTGGCTGCTCCCGTGAAGGCTTCCGCCTCAGGAACACGATCTAGACAGGGTCACTAGGAGTCAGAATGGACTCCGTGCACTATGCTTAGGTTTGGGGTTTTCTATGTCATTGTCTGGGTTCTTGCATCTCAATCCGCCACTCACACAGCAAGCCCAGGAGAAAGGCGGGGTCATTTCCGAGACTAGAGGTGCTGGGGGATGTCTGTCTGGGGCGTGAGCACTGTGATGTGCCTGCACTTGCTGTGGTCGACGGCCACATGTGGGAGGGCTGGTGTTCCTAAAAGCATCAACCAGAAAGGCAGAGTGAAGAGTTCAGCTCTGGGAGTTTAGATAGTCTGAGGGTACCCTTACCAAGCCAGGGGCATCTGCTTGAGCTACTTCCCCACCCTGGCAGGGCATCATCTGAGACTGGGCAGGGAGCAGCACCAACTCTATGGGGCCAGTGGTCAGTCTGGGACACCCTGTCAGGTCCTGGACACAGGCGCTGGCACCAGAGTTAGACACAGGAGGGCCAGCCACTATTGCAGTACCTTTTGGTCATATTACCAGTAACTTGGTTAGTAACTTTTAGTCGTATTACCAGTAACTTGGTTACGTCGGCACTTATGGCACCAGAGGCTCCGTAACTTTGTATCCGTTACCTTCATATTCCTAACTGTGATGTTTACTAATGGAGATTTAATCATAGGAATAGAGAACCATTCTTAACTGTGATTTTAAATAAGGTGGAGGTAAGTCGAAGCAGGTTCTTACTTAGCCTTAGGGAAAATGCAAGAACAGATCAGCACTGTGCAGCAAGTGAAGGTGGCTGTGATGACAGATATGCTGCTGGAAGAAGTTGGTTCGATCTTCTCAAATCGAGGGCAAGTTCACATACCAGTGAAGGGCAAGCCAGAGCTGTCAGTCAACCGGACATTTGTAACCCAGGGAATTACCTGCATTCGCCTTTCCCCACCTCTTACTTGGCTAACACCAAGTTAGCACTTTCTCCTCCTAACTCGAGAGAGCTGGAAATGACGATGCCCTGCACAGATCTGAACTTTGCGAAACTGCAGCGAGAGAAAACAGCTCATGTGACACAGGTTGTTGAGGGCTCAAGGGGAACTCACTTCTCTGGCGACTCCGAGTGGCCCACGCACTTCCTCCCCGACGAGTTCCCATACACCTCGTCCTCATTGTCGTCCACGTCTTCATCGTCGATGCTTTTCACATCAAGCTTCTGGTACCCAAACTCCCCGTTCAGAGACACGGAGTCAACTTTCCACGAGTTGCTGCTCTGGCTTCCATTGGAGTTTGGCCCAAAGGGGCTCTCAAAGGCTGACATGATGTTGGCTGAGGAGCGGTCGGAGTTGTCCTCCGAGCTCTCCCCAGCCCCGGGGGTCTTTCTGAACACATCGCTAGCATTCTGCTCATCTTCCTCGTCATCAAAGGAGATGATGTGGGTCACCTTTTTTTTCTTTTTCCGCTCCTTTTTACATTTGGTATCTGACAAAAGAAAGGATTGGTACAAAAACAAAAACACAAGATGAAGGGATGAACGTATCTTATTGGCTCTAGATTGTGGGATATTCCTTCCAAGTCTACTAAGAAATAAGCTAGACAATAAATTAAGGGTGGGTTTTTTTGGTTCTAGAAAAGAATTTTCCTGTAGGAGAATGACAAAATGGCTATGGACCTCTGGTTCTGATTCTTTTGGCAAACATGTGGCACAAGGCATACCTGGGATGGTTCCTTTGAAGGTGTGGATAATTGCTTCCGGGGACAACCGTCTCCTTTGCCATGAAACCAAAAGAATGGATAGTGCCCAGTTCCCATTGCTGAACATTTGGATCAACGATATCATAGCAGAATCATAATTAAATTCTGCAGGACAGAACTTCAAGTTCTCATGGACTCTCGACTTTCTGGAGCCACAGAGGGTGGATGAATCCTTAAACTATTGCCTTGATATCATCTTTAAACCTTAAATAGCTCCAGAAGGCTTCCTAAACCACATGATAAATAGGTGGTCTTAACCAGAAAAGGATGTCGACCTTAAGCACTGTACTCTCTGAAAACACACCACTGAGAACAGAGGCAATGGAAGATGAGATGAAACTCTTTGTGGGCCATGAGGCTGAGGAGGAAGAGCCCCGAAAGGAGGGTGGGAAGGGACCTCCCCTTCAACATGCAGTCCAGGCCACTACACTGCATGAGGCGAGAAGAAAAGGGCAAAGCAAGAAAGACAGTGGGAACTAGAAATGCCCACACATATTTGACCTGGTGGCACTGTGGGAAGTGGGCTGTGTCCCCCGGCCAGAGGACAAGGTGCGCCCACCGCAGCACAGCCTGCTGCCCTATGCTGGCTCTGCTCGCACTCACCGGCACTGACGCTCCTGGACAGGACGGGCAGCGGGTCCGTCTCCTGGTCTGCCTTGATGAGGATGGACACAGCGGAGGACGCCGTGATCTCCCTGAGGAGGCTGCTCACGCCCTGCGTGGATTCCTTCAGCAGGTCCGAGACGGTGGGGGCAACCTTGCTCTGCCCGTTTAAATCCTTGTTGTCGATGTTAATTGCAAAGAGGATGGAGTTCAGACCTGCCAAAAAAGGGGGGCCGATTGGGGTGCTTGCTGCTGGGTCAACCACACCGCCAGCCTGAAACCGGAGCAGCAGGCATACCGGAGCCTACAGCACACACATTGCCCAGAACCTTCCACAAAAAGCCTGCCCGAGTTCTACAGGGCATGCAGTACACACACTGACCATCAGCTTCCCGACTAGACCCACTGGGCCGGCCGAGCCTGGAAGACTCCCTGAGACCGATGGCTGAGATCCTCTTCAAACCTGGCGCGCAAACTAAGCTGCGGTCACCTGGAAGCTAAAGAATGCACTGCCCACTCGGTTCCAACTCATGGTGACCCAAGGTGACAAAACAGCTCCAGAAAAAACAGTGGCTGTCACCCTAAGTCTGTGCTCAGTAAGAAAATCACCTGTCTGAGCCCAAACAGCCAGCAGGGACTGTAGACCCGATACAAGAAGGGAACACGGCAGGGGAAGCACCAGAAGGAAATCACACACATTGCAACAACGTGACAAATGTGACCACGCCCACGCTGCAACAGACATCACTGCGGTCACGCTGTGACATACTGCACCAAAGTCACGCTACGACAAACATCACTAGGCCATGCTGCGACAGACATGACCGCAGCCCTGCAGGCACAAAGGTAACCACGGTCACTGAGCAAGCTGTGGGGAGGCTGTTGGATGAAAACTACTCTGCTGTGCATACCTTTGCCAAAAACACGGTATTACTTCTTTAAAAAAAAAAATTCTAGGAAACTGGAGCTGGTAAACATGACAGCCAGAGGTCAAATCTTCCAGAAGGAAAGGAACACCCCCTACCTATAGGAGGAGGTCTGACTTAGGTTCTAGGTCAGACTGCCGGGGTGGACTACCAGACCCTCTACGTACCTACTAAGACACCTTGGTCAAGAGACTCACAGCCTCTTCAAGCTTTAGTGTCCGCAGCTATAATATGGGGACAGTAGCATCTTTCTCAGAGGGCTGCAAGCATTGCAGACAACCACCCACCAAAAAGCACTCTGCTCCCTGAGCCATCAGCATCACTGGAGGCAAAAACCTGCTCCCTCCAGCCAGTCACGCCCTGACTTGCTCTTGGACGGACAGGACTAACATGACTTGTGGGACTTCATGTAAACATTCTGGGGCAGGGAGACAAAAAAGGATGGGAGAGAGTGTGAGAGGCGCACTCTTGCCTGGTGATCCCGTCTCTCACCTTTGTCCAGTGATAACCGTTTGCACAGCCCATCAGGGCACATTCCCCAGGGCTTCCCATTCACAAGCACATACACAGTTCTGTGTCACAGATGAAACACTCATAGGCCCGATACAGGTGACTGTGGACCCGGACTATCAGAGTGCCCCTAACCGATGAGGACAGGGAAGAGGAGCTTGCTTAGCTGAGCTGCCCAAGGTCACCCAGCCAGTGAAGAGCAAAGCCAGGAGTCCAGGGTGGGTCTCCTGCCTCCAAGACTCCCCAGCTCTTCTATGACACCTGTAAAGCCACAACCAAAATCTCTGAGCCCAGGTCATCTAGACCAAGGTAGCAGAGAGCTCTGAGCCATATGGAGGGGCGGTGCGAGGGACTCGAAAGTCACCCGGTGGCAGGGACAAGGGGAGCGCCCTCTGGAGTTACAGCTCACAGCCTGTCTCTTCCGCTCACCGTGCTTCCCAGGGCCCACCACTCTGGGCTATGCCAGCCTTACCAGCCGCCATGGTCGGGAGCATGCTGGACCGCTCTTCGTCCATCACAAAAGACCAGTCTTCGTAAAAAGTGCTGCAAATGGAAAGAGAGGAGGGGGATGTTCTGAATAGTGGGTCTCTGCACTGATCAGCCAGAAATCGCAGTAGCTCCCAGGACACCCAGGCCTGGCCCTGGCCCTGTGGATTTGCTCTATCTGTGGTCTCTGGGGTTGACAACAAGGGCTTGACGCTTCCGTCCTGCTACTTCCTCACTGGTCCCAAGAGACCCAAGGTTGAAGGCCCCGAAATAGGCATGATATGTAAATGAAGCGTTTACAAAGTGACAAAGTGGAAGAGGCAAAGACAGGGATGAATGGGTTCCACTCTCCCAGTGTCTCCAGGAGACAGACAGGCTGGTGAACCACAGCTGGCCAGCAGAGAGCTCCTGCTTTGGATTATTCAAGAAGAGACCACTTCAGAAATAAATAGTAGTCCCTGGCTCCATCCCCTATAACACCTGTTTGGGCTGTGGAGCAGGAAGCCCAAGATATGTCTGGAAAGGGCTAAGGACACCCACAGTCTAATCAGCAGAAGCGAGGTTAAAGGGTCTTCCCAATGCCATCTGGCTGCAAAAGCAGGTCTCCGAGGTCAATTCCCCAGGTCTTTCTCAGACTCTCTGCTGGAGAGTCACGTCAAATAACTTCTATCCCTTGGCTTTCCTGCCAAGTCATGGAATGGTAAATCCACAGAGTCTGAGCTCAATTCCAAGGAAAGAGAGTTGGTGAGGAGGGCCCTGAAGGTTAGCCAGACTGGGAAAACCAGCCACTAATGTGGCTGACTGCAGGAGAGAAGAAACACAAGGCTTCCATCCAAATTCTAAAGTGCAATGCCAGTAGGAGCCCACGCCACAGGTTCAAGCGGCATCGCTACCCTGGAGTCTCAGAACAGTGACCTCTTCAACATCTGGGCCAGTTTTCCAGGGAGTCACACTTGGCTTGCAACTTCAGTTAGGTAGATCAGTAGCAGCCCATGCAAGTTCATTTGATTCTTAACAGCCAGGTTCACTTTAATGGCCCACAGTTAAATTCAGCTTTGAGACTGAGACTGAGACTCAGAGCTTTCCCAAAAACTCCAAGAGGGTCTTTAACTAAAGCTGGCCGCTGCTCAGTGGTCTAGATGGTCTCAGCCTCCTGGATT